TCTCAGACTCTGGCATAGGATCGGAACGTTAGAAATGGTGTGTGAAGAGTCTGCCTCCGCGACCCGAAAGAAAAGTAATGGAAGATGATGTTGATAATTTGTTGCTATAATCGAAAATTTACTAACTTTGTGACAGAATTAACTGAAAAACTAGTAGCTCCGTTAAATCAGTCGTCAATAAGAGGAATGTGGATTATTTTAATAATAACATGAATAAAATGTTATTGAATATGTCCTTATCGTTTTAACTGATCATGTTACTCCGTTCTAGTGCTTAGTCTGAATTAGTTCCTTGTAGAACTTGTGTGCATTTTTGGTATAAGATGGGCTTTTTCTAGTTTGAGAATTGAGTGTTTTATCAGTAAAGTTCGAAAGCTTTAAGAAAAATTTTTTGACTAGAGACAGTGGACCTAAAGGGAACGTTATGTTTATGAATTTTAGGTAAGCAGTAAAAACGCAGTGCCAGTTGATTACATTTAAATTTGACAGGTGTTTCAATGAAACTAAAATTTGTGATCTAAATGATAATTTTGGACAATACCTTGGAAAATTGCTCGAAGTTTATGGATGAGAAAAGAGGTAGGGTTAGAATCTAGGAAGAGGCAAAAGTTATTGAGCGGATCACGGCATTTGCTGGTATATTCTAACTTATGCATAATCGCTATGGCACTTCATCTGCTTTCTTGACTATAATGCCATTATTACGCAAGTTCTAATATTGGCTCGGTAACTCGTCTTTGCTCCTCTGAAGTTGATAAATGAATACCACTCTACGGGAAGGAAAACGGTGACTACCCGCTGTATATGCCGCGTTGCTATAGACCGCATTTAAAATGATTTACTGCTGGATGATGGCACAGAAAGGGAGATCAGCGCCACACCATAAACTTCATGAGAATGAAGGATGCCACAAATGTCTAAATAATGAAACGTAATAGAGACTGACATTCAAAGGCTTACACACTCTGTGTGCGCAATGTCAGGTACGATTGCACCATTTCAAAGTTTTACTGATTTATTGGAGTAATAAAAGAACACGTTTTTAAGCATAATCAAAAATGCACGATTGTCACAAACGACGGTTCCACACAGCAAATAAATAGCAGTATTTTTCTACATGGAGCATAGCTAAGTAACTGAGTTGTAATTTTAGAAAAGGTGCGTTGAAACAGGGATAACAGATTTTCTGTAGTGCTCGATCCTAGCGTAGATATTGACATATCGGAATCTAGTGAATGTGCTGCGTAAACATTGCACAAAGTCATCATGCAGGGATGGGCACAGTTGCTAAGAATGTTTTCCATGCGAATATCTTGAGCCACTGCTGATTTGGCAAGGCGCGATGCCAGATCATTCTTAGGCAAACCTTGATACAAGCTTAAGCGTTATTCTTAAGGCTTTAAAGTCACAAGTCAATACCTAGGAAACTACGACTGCCCCATAGGTGAAAATGGGGACGTAAAAACGAAGTCTTCATTTGCTTTCCTTAGCGCATGCAAGTTCCTGAGTCTTTTCGTGTAGAACGATGCCTTGCAAAACCGGATTGATACTTCCTGAATGTGACGATGCCAGGCGAGGTCTACCGATAAAGTGATTCCAAAATACTTGAGTATTGTACTTAGGTCACAGGTTGTCACATATTTCCAGATGCGGGATGATAAGTTTTGTCGGATTTTTCGCCTCATGTAGATTGCCCAATTGCTCTACTGATGTTTAGACGCAGCTATTTTTGAAGAAAGAGAAGGGAAATATTACTGATGCCATTTTGGTCGCAATCCCAGTCATCATATGAGCTCAAAACGCTTACGAGTACAGTGTCGTCAGCGCACTTAGTACATTAGTGAAAGGCATTGGCAGTGCCATAAATGGTAAAAAGGCGATTAACCAATAGGGGCCAGAAGAGGGAGCCTTAATGACGCCAAGGTAATTTTCCATGACTTCAGACTACTATATACCGATTTAGACGAACTGGCGACGAGTGGAAAAGTAACTTGCCAACCATTGAATGAGAAAAGGGTCAGTGATAAATACCTTCAGTTTAGAAAGCAGCTTACCCCGAGGGATTATAATGAATGCCCAGTACCGGTCGAAGAATGCTAACCTAATAACGCGGCCACTTTTGTCAAGTTCACTTCCAATTTCGTTTGTTAGGGGAGCAATGGCATTCTCGGTCCGTAGCCTTTTTCTGTAGGCGAATTGTCGTGGATCAAGTGCAACAGCGATGCAACACCTTTTGTTCCTCAAGTGGTTGTATGAGGTGTTCGAGACTGTTGAGCACGGCAGAGGTCAGCGTGATTGGTCGGGATGCATCACGCCTTTGGTTGACGTTCTCCTTTTTGGCACAGGGGTAGTCAATTCGTCGCTGTATGTTTAGAATTAGGGCTCGACGAAGACATTATGTTGCTTAACTCAGCTAAACGAAGTTCTAGCAAGCAGGAACTGACTGCGTCGGGACTTGAAGCCATGTTAGACTGGAAATAAGCAGGGCACCTCTCTGTGTCATTATTAGCTAATTGTATAGGTTTTGTTTGTCCGTCAGTCGCTGGAGCGGAGAAAGTGGCGACATTGGCCTGTCATTCTCGAAACGCAAAATAATCACGGTTGAGGTCATTTGGGTACGCGTCAATATTTCTCGAACTGAGCAGTTTCTTCGCTGTGCTGCATTGAGAGTTAATCTTCCTTCGGGGATTCTTTGGATTCGAATCAGTGAAGCAGTGATCCAAGTATACTTTGTTTAAAGGGAGAATTTATCTATGATTACCATGTAAATGGCTCGAACCGGTGGTCGCCTGTTCTGTATGCTTTCCTTCTTGCAGCGTTGCTGCATCCTCGAGGAAATATGAAGCCAAGTGACCAACACGTTTTGAGAAAGGCATAGGGCATCATAGCAGTTAATACAATAATGACCTAATGCCCAGCAGCGTTAAGCACTTCTTTGAGCTCATTTGTTCTTTGATAACTTAGACCAATTGAAGACGACAAAAATTGCTTAAGGTACTCCACGTTGGCAGGGTGAATATCTCAGGAGAGCACAGTCTTAGGGGAACAAAACGCTTGTGTTTTCCGTGCGATTTTGTGACGTACGCCTAAACTAGACACTGGCACAATTTAAGGGACTTTTGAAACAAACTCGGTCGAAATTCGCATCCGCGGGCGTGTTAAGGTGCCCTATGTTCGTCAGGTCAAATGGTAGAAGAACTTCAAGACGTTCCCGACTGGTCTCCAGCCAAAACATTTATATTACTCTGAACAACTGGTGACAAGAATACTGTCAGCGAGTCAGTAAACTCTTTTGGCCATGGCGCTGCAGTCGTTTGCACTGTAAACATTCCTTAATACTAGCTCTTGCAATCGGGGTAAAAAGTATTGCCAATAGAGAAGAATCATTCAGTGAATATTGTTGGACTGGAACATAAATTTCAGCGTTGAATGGTCACATAATTTCTGTCGGAAGCATGTTCGGACTTCGCCGTCATGTTTTAGACATGACGGCGATGTCATTGTAGAAAATCGATCCATCCGAAATGGTTCACAGCCACCAAGCAAAAGGACAGGACAATGTGTTTGATCGTGTAGCGATGAATGCAGGATATCGAGACTATCCCATATAGCCAGCCGCCTCAGTCTGATTATGTTCTGTCGCTATGGAGCGAACGTTGGCGGCGATGATATAAAACAAAAGGCCATGTTATTTTTTTTCAAAGATGGTTTGCCAACATGCTCGACGACTATGCTTTCTTCGGTGTCGAGTTTTGCGCAAGATACCGGTTTCTGACACCTCCTCAACAGTCAATGGAGTAAGTTCCGTGGCGATCTTGCGGAGTATTTGAAGAGCTTTGCGATAATAAAGCAACCTGCAAATCATCTACTGTAGAACAAAGATACAGAATCACGCGTTTGAGGACAACTAAAAGCACAGTAAACGAATCCAAATATTTCAAAGGAATGATAAATTGAAGCAAAGTAGGCATACAAAAATGTACAAGGAAGTACCTTGAACTGGCCTGCCAGATCTGGGCATCCAGAGTGTATGGCACACCAGAGCGATCGCCAGTAAAATAAAACGCATAACCTACTATACTTATCTACTGATCGACAGGTTGTCTTTAACCAGAAGGGTTTGCGTTTACGCACATTTCGAAAGCTCATAACCGAGCCATAATGACGCTCTGTAATGAAATACATCATCTGAAAGTTGCATCATTCGGCTGGCTGAAATGTGTATACCATGCAGGAGCGTTTGACTAACTACCAAATCAGTTATTTTGTTAAACGTCAAATTGAACCTGAATTTCTACTTTTCATTATAATTACTGTAGATTTAATCAGACTCTGCAGTCTTCTGTGACCAGTTAAATTGTTCTTAGAGTCATGGCAGCTTTATCTTTGTACAAATATGGCAGCCTGGTCGTGCTCGTTGTGCAGAGCAGTGCGATGGTGCTGGTTCTTCGATATTCGAGAACGATGCAGACTGAAGGCCCCAGGTACCTTTCTTCCACCGCCATCGTCGCTGCTGAAGTAGTCAAAATCTGCAGCTGCTTCTTAGTAATTTTCTTTTTACAGAGTGAGTTCTTGTTTTTATTATGGTGCTTAAATGACCATAACGATTATCGTTAGACATGAAATGAAGCGAAAGCTGCTCGCCCGTTCTACATATATGTTCTGTTCATTGATAGGGTATTGCTGACCTGTGGCATTAAAACAAAGGTCAGCGTTGCACTAGAAGTTGCGTGGAAGAAAGCTGTCTTAAATACTATCCGTGCAAGAAAAAAGGGAGACTGAAACCCCAGCGATAACAAGATTTTCTTCCTCTCTCCCTTACTCTTCAGTCGGCTATATTATGTGACTCGGTCTTGTCGACCACGTCGTGTGGTAGAATTGGGACTACCGTGCGTATATCCATCCAACCAGAAAAACAGATGGGCTAGCAAGTCAGGCATGCCACCAATTTACTCTTAACCAATATCCGCAAATATAGTTGGCCCGAGTATATTCTTACATTCTTCTGGTGTCCTCCATCAATTACGCACACATGAAGAAGTGGATAATTAAACTTCAATGATATGGTCATTTTTGGCATCTTTGTTTCTTGGAGCGCATGGTACGGCGTTCATCTCTTTTGAAGTGCCATTACCGTCAGGACTTCTTTATGAACACTGTACCTACAGCTATGCAGTAAGCACAGCGTGTAATATCTTAATATCTTTTCAGGGTTAACCATACTCGTTTGCCTCTCTTATAGAGAAGATGGAAAGTTAACCCATCGGAATTCAAATTTCGAATCATTTAACTCTGAATTGGATGCTCTATCGATGCAGGTGGGTGTTACCTTTAATCTAAAGGAATTAGTTACTTATTACTTCGTTTCCGCTCTTATCTCATTTGTATCCACGGGATGTCTCAAAACATCACAGAGCGCAAATGAAGACGTCTGCATTATTTGTGGCATTCATTTTTTATAACTCTCACCCTTGCTCAGTAGGCTGCTAAAATGTTAATGGAATTTTTTCGATAGTTTTTTTTTCTTTCAGAGTGTTCATTAGAGAAGACAGTGCAAAAGTTGTACGCCGAAATTTTTGCTGAATATCGTGATTCAATTAAAGTCGCTGTCCCTGCCGTACTCTATTTGGTGCAGAACAATCTGTTATTTTTGGCACTATCAATGTTGGATGCGGCTACCTATCAGGTGATTTGTCGTATCGATCATCTTTCAGTGTATCACGTGGCATGTAGTTGATTTATTTAGATCTGTTTACATCGATCTCTGTTAACTTCCTAATAAAGTTAACATAAATATAATTCTTAAAGAATGAGATCCATATTCCGTCAGTTATACTAGCGATTCGATTCTAAACCGTTAGCCTTTATGAAGCTCTATTGTTCATCGGTCAGGAATAAGCCAGAAATACTCCATAAAAGTCTCCAAGTTTTGTGATTCCTCGATGCATTGTGGTATTGAAATGTCAAGTCCCATAATAAGTGACATGTGTTCTCGGTAGATTAGAGAGTTTTAGAAATTATTCATAAGTCAGGGGTTTGATCTTGTTAGGAAAATTTTTTTGCGTAAACCCTTTACTCCAGCGTCTGAGCTTTGCATGTGGAATCTTACACACGGGAAACATCGAATAGTTGTTCGTTTGCAGTACTGATTGACATGATGGAGGCAGGTTTGCATTCAAAGAAAAACAATTCGTTTTTCCATGTGGTCACAGATGTCTTATATGAAAAGTACTAAAAAAACTGAGAATGTAAATATGGCATAACAATTCCGATTCTGGCACCGTTGTTGAAATTACAGATTGTTCACCGATTCATGATTGAAGGAACCAAGCAGCACAGATATCAGTAGTTTACTGTCGACACGTTTCGCTTTTGCGCCCAGTTCTGATCAGAATTCCTATAGCATGTCAGTGTTGTTTGTTGTTGTCAGCTATGAATCGACGAATAATCTACAGACTGAGAGTGTGTACTAGGTTTCGCAAATCAGAAATGTTCTGCTTATACTTAGAGTAGTAAGTGATCACATCAACATTGATTGTTACTAAGATTTTGCTTATTTTTTATATCTTTTGTATTCTTTCGGTGTACATAGCGATATTCATAAACATGAAATTTCTTTTTGAGAAACCCAAGTTCAGAAGTTTCTGC